AGTGATATGGGGAGGAGAGGGCAGGAAAAAAAAAAAGCTGGATTCAGGCAAATTGGTTTGGGGTATGAATATGTAATCTCTAAAATCCAAAGCTGATCTGGAACAAGTCTATTTGAGGACTCCCAAGGAATTTGCTCCCATTAGTAGTGATTCAGAGGTTTTCGATCTCTGAGGGGTCTCTAAGTGCAAGAACTTCAGGCAATCCAGGTGGTTTGAATCACTCTGCCAATGAGCGTTCTAAAGTCTTTTTATTTCTTTTGCAAATAAACTCTGACTGATAGCTGTGGGTGCAGCCAACAATGCCAAAAATCAAGTCTTACTATATAAATGGTGACTTTCTATCTTTATGTCTTCTTTCAGACCAATGTTTTCTTTTCACCACATAAACAACAAAAACAAGGGCGGCTTTTGGCCCATACTGCAGTGAGCTTTACAATAGACAGTGCACAGAGGCAGGTAGATGATGGAGACAGCTCATACTGGCTCCTTACACCTCAGAAATAAAAAACACTACAAATCAAGACTTGATTTGTTGTTTTATTGATAATCTAAACCTAAGAAAGTGATAGTATAGTACTCTTTTTTGAGAGCAGATAATTAAACATTTACCAGCACACCCCTGGATTCATGACATTTATTTGGACATCTTTCTCTACCACATGTTTCCTTGGTCCTCTCAGATTAAAAAAAAGTATAATATCTGGTACATAGTAGGTGCTTAATAAATGCTTGTTGACTTTACTTGACTATCCCTTCCCCTTTATTTCTCCCCTGAGTGCTGCCCCTTCCCCTCATTAGTACATAAACTCCTCGATTTAAGATTTTTTAAGTCTTCGTATTTGTATTCCCAATTCCTAGCACTTTACCTTGGCACCCAGTAGGTACTTAATAACTATCTAGCTACTGCAGGATCCATTTTGACAACTTGGCCTAAGTAGATGAAGATATTAAGATTGATAGAATAATAATAGTAATCATTGCTACATTATTAATAGTAATAAGATACACTTATATAGTACTTGCAGGTTCACAAAGTGCTTTTCTCAGGACACTTTCAGAAGAAGCCAAGATGCAGAGAGATGTGAAATGCCCAGAATTCCACAGCATTGGCACCAAAACTCAAACTCAAGCCTTCTGATTCTAACTAGCAAGTTTCCTGATCCAGTAAACTGCTTCCCTATGAATGACTCCGTTTGCTGAAAGCAAAGGAACAATGATTTAAAAAGTGTTAGCAGATAATTTTCCTGAACAAAACTTCTAAAACTCTCACGGAGAGGCATTATCTATCCCTTCTTGCTTCTCAATCCAGAAGCTGGGTTACCTAACCAGGGAATCAGAGGGATCCACATTAGCCCAAAATAACCTCCTCTCTCCCCACCCTTTTAAAACAAATCATTTCAACTAAACTTAATAAACATGTATTAAGAAGTTAGTACATGAGAGACATTGTTCTAGGTGCTAGCTAGAGATACAAAGGCATAAATGAAAACAGTTTGGTTTTTGGTTAACATTTTCTAAATCCATGGAAATTAATGGTACAAGATTAGAGTCAAATAGAGCTGAACCCCAAACACTTATTGATATGATTAACTTGTGACTCATCTTTATGCCTCAGCTCAGTATCAGGGACTCAGATGCACACATCTTGCTGCTCAGTTCATCCCAAACTAATCGGTGCCATTCAGCTAACATCTCAAAATGCATGCAGAGGTGAGCACACAAGCCCCTACCCACATTCATCTAAGCCCTAAAGTCACATTCCAATGCATTCCTATATTCCTAGTCATATGAAGAGAGTCCTTGGAAGTTCATGGGTTTCCTGAATATAATGGGGGAGGGGGGAAATTCTGTCACTGGAAGACTTCTTCCAAAAGCTTTGTTCAATCATAAACCTTTTAAATTCCCAAACTACACAACTGCTATCCTTCTTTAAGAAATACTCAATCTATCCATCTTTGAACTATTGGAATCATGCAATCAACAAATTAAAGATCAGTAACTCCATAGAGTAGAAACACTGGTTTGGGGTATCAGGAGAGATATGTGTTCTAGTCAACATTCTTCTAACCGGCTTGTGCCTTTGGCAAATCATAGCATCTCTCTATGCTTCCTCTGAAAATGAGAAGGATTAGACCAAATAATCTTATCTAGCTCTAGAGTTCTAGAAATATTCCTGAGCATCTACCCTTAGAAGGTACTGATAGTATACAAAAGAGTTTAAACTAAAGTTTCCTCAACCAACCTACCACCTACCTAAAAAGATAGCTCAAGATGCCAGGCAAGTTGCCAATCAAACAGTTTCCCATAGCCCGTATAGTTTGTACTGTGGGCAAGTCACGTAAATTCTCCATGCTCTAGGAAACTCTCTCTGAGACTATAGGTCAAAGAAATAGTAGTAGTCCAAAGAAAAACGTGTTGGAGGGGGCTACCAAAAATGTCAGATTTCACAAAGGTCAAGGGTGAAAGCTTCCAATTCAACCAACTAGGTGAAATGTAGAGGGTTCTACAGAGTTTTAGTTGTGCTTAAAACACTGATACTTACTGGATCGTGAAATGATGATAACCCTGAGGCCTAAGGAGATGAACAAGATCACATCCAGTCTAATCCCTTGCTTCAAATATTTATCATATTGCACATATATAATCTATATCAAATTGCTTACCATCTTAGGGAGAAAGGAGGAGGGAAGAGGGGAGGAAGGGACAAAATTAGAAACTCAAACATGTTAAAATAAATATTAAAAATCATCTTTACATGTAATTGGAAAAATAAATACTATTTAATAACACATGTTTATCATAGATTCTGCAAGACTGTCAGCTTCTGTGAACTGAAAACAATAGGTTTATTCATCATAGACTGAATGGTACAATAGATACGATGTCAGTGTTAGAGGTAGGAATAAGATATCAGAATCAAAGGATTATGGATTTAGAGGTGGAAGGGACCCTAGAGGTCATCTAATTCAACCTCCCTCATTTAAAGATGAGGGAACTGAAGTCAAGAGAGCTGTAGTTTGTTTCCCAAGGTTAGAAAGGTAGCAAAGGGCAAGGAGAATTTGAATCCAGGCCCTTGACTATAAAGCCATTGTTCTTTCTACTATTTTATGTAAGACTTGGATTCCAGTCCTGCTTCTGATACATATGATTTGTGACCATGGGCAAGTCACTGAACCTCTCAGTACTCCCAAGAAATTCTCTAAGGCTTTAAGTTACAGAGAATGTGCTCATCTGCTTCAGTGTAGTGAGTTTCCACGCCTTAAATCCCCTAAACTCATGAAAAATCTTTGCCCCATCCCCTAACAATAAACTTGGATATCAAAAGAAATAGGCACTGAATCCAAATGTGATGTTTTTATGCATTTAAGGAGCTTTAATAAAAAGTAATGCATGTAACTTAAATCAAAGCTATGTCCGTCCTTGCTTTCTAAAACAGCCCAGAATGCCTCAAGGTACTTTTCAGTGGATTCAGCATTCTGAGGTATCCAAATTATCTCCTCCTTCAGTGCATCCACAGACTAATAAAACAAGGGTGTGACTCAGCACCATTGTGACACAAAAAGTGCCCAGATGTACCAATGGAAATGGTAGTAACAGACTAATGATCACACCAAAGTCTAGGAGACTCTACAGGGACAGGTGGCAGAAGGGGAAATATGCTGGGGAGTTGTCTAAATGTATGCCTTTGAAAGAGATTCATTGGCTGCTGTACCTCTGAGTTTCATAAGTGTGTTTGCACAACTTTCCCATAATTGTGTCCTTTCTACCAGCACCAACTAGTCATAGAACCTGGAAGTCAAAGGGACCCTAAGAGAAAATCTTGGAATTCATCAGTTGCTTGTATTCTTTTGAGTCAATCAGGGATGTTTAGAGAATATGAGCAAAAAAATTGAAAACTCAGAAAAATATTGTTCTATATACAATAACCACTTCAGTCAAATCCTTTAAAATTTTTAAAATTACCTAGTTTACTAAGCTTGCTAAGGGTTAATGATTCTTGATGCTCAGATCTACATGAGAAACATTCAAAAGGCAATGGAGAGCAATTAATCCACAAAGAAAGGGAAGAAGGTGTTACCATAATATCAGAAGTTTAGAACTGGAAGGATATTAGAGAAAATTGAGTTCCACACCCTCATTTTATAGATGTGTAAACTGAAGCCCAGAAAGATTAAACTATCTGCCCAGTGCTGAAAAAATGTCTGGTGGGATTTGAACTGATTCCACATCCAGGGCCATATTCACTTATACCTAGATACTCCCACAGTAGAGTGTCTTTTAAGGTATTAGTTTATATATTCATAGAGGTAGAAGGGACCTAAGAAGTCATCTATCATTTTATGGATGAGGCCAAGAGCAGCTAAGTGACCTACCCAAGGTAACAGAGACACAGCCTAGACTTGAACTAATGTTCTCTGATTCTAGATTCAATGGATGGATCACTACCTGATGTTTCTTCTCTAAAGTCTTTGCTAGCTCTACTTTACCATTATTTCAAGCACTGCCCAGTTAGAGGTATAGCACTGCAGTGCTATTCATCTTTGGGCAAACTAAGTGGTGCAGTGGATGGAATGCCAGACCCAGAGTCACAAAGACCCATCCTTCTGAGTTCAAATCTGGTCTCAGACACTTACTAGCTGTGTGATGCTGAGCAAGTCACTTAACCCTGTTTGCCTTAGTTTCTTCAATTGTAAAATGAAATAGAGAAGAAAATGGCAAACCACTCTAGGACCTTTCCTAAGAAAACCCCAATGGGGTCACAAAGAGTCAGACACAACTGAACAACAACCAGAAAAATTCATCTTTCAATAAATTGCAAAGAACTTCCTAGAACTTTTGCTTGGGAATCTAAAAATTCCAGCTCTTCTATCAGACTAGAGTTTAAATGCAATTAAAATGCACATGAAATTCCTCAAAGTGCTAATGTTCACCCATTCAAATGTACTGTGATTAGAGAATTCAAGTATCTGTTGGTCCCAACTATTGACTTGGCTTCTTACCTGAAGCAGAAAATCAAAAAGTGCCATTTTAGACCATTCGTGGTGATGTACTTCAGTACATCCCCATTCAGCTTTGGGCACTCTACCATTTTGCCAACACTTTTGCTTGAGTAATTGTTGATAAGCACTCCAAGTGAGAGAAACAGAAGAATGACTTCCATTGTCTGTTGGAGACAAAGATGAGTCCCAGAGAATCACAGGGCAGGGACGGCCATCTAAAAAGGAGAGAAACAAAAATAAACAATATTTACATGTCTTAGATAAATCACTTCCAAACTCTCTGCCCCAATTTCCTCAACTGTAAAATGAAGAAGTTATTGAAAAATAAGTGTGTTCATCAGTTGGGAAATGGGTGAACAGATTATGATATATGTATATAACAATATTCTTGCTCCACAAGAAATGATGAAATGGACAGTTTCAGATAAACCTGGGACTCGTATGACTAGTGAAGTGAGCTTGAACCAAGATAACAACTTATATAACAACAAATTTGTAAAAAACCAACAACTTTGAAAGACTTAAGAACTCTGATCAATACAAAGACCAACCAAGATTCCAAAGAACTCTTGATAGAACTATTCTACTCTCCTTCTGATAGAGAAGTGATGGACTCAAGGTGCAGAATAAAACACATTTTTTTTAATATGGCCAATGTGGGGATTTGTTTTGCTTGAGTGGACTATGTGTATTTGCTACAAGGGTTTCATTTTTCTTTCATTTCAGTGAGGCAGGGGAAGTGGAAAGATTAAAATTCTTTTTGTTCATTGAAAAAAAATAAACTTTAAAAATAAAAACTTTTATCTTCTAATCTCTGGGATAGGGGGAGGGGAAAGGAACATAATGGGAAATCAAGGTGATGTAAAAACAAAAAATAAAATGTTTGAGAAAAAATAAAACAAGATGAAGGAGTCAGACTAAGGGATCTCTAACTTCCCTTTCAGCTTCAGTATTCTCTGATCCCAGAATTCTATGTCAGACAATCTTCCCTGTTAGAATCTTCCACACTTGAGAATCATTTTTTTTTACAAAGATATTTTATAGATGTGGAAGGAACTGGCTCCTAACCACCAATAACAACATCCTTCGGTTAATGTGGTCTTACTCCACTTCTAAAAACAGTCACCACAGAAAAGGAAAAAACCCAGACATTTATAATTGTCTGTTCGATGTCTGAGTAGAGCTCCTCTCCATTTGTAATAACAGCTGTCTGTTTTTCTGAGGCCACATTATGATGTCAGGAAGACAAGGATTTTTAGAAACGACAAGTGAAATTGTCTGGCTTTCCTAACCCTCCAATACAATCTGAAAATAAATACAAGCAAACTCAGCAAACACCCATTAAACTTCTATTATGTGTAAGATGCTGAGCTAGATACTGGGGATAGAAAGCTTAAAAACAACATAATCCCCTGGCTCGAGGAGCTTAGAATGGGAAGGATGAGAAAAGAACACAAGTAGCTCAATATAAGATAGAATGTGATAGAGGCAAAGCTGAAATCTCAAATGCTTTCAGAAACTTGAGTGGGAAAGATCTCTTTCAGTTAAGGGGATGAGGGAATCCTTCACAGATGAGGTAACAGCTGGGCTGGACTTTGAAGGATAAAAATAATTCTCAGCATTTCAAGATGAAACTGGCATCCATTCCAAGAAAAATTATTGCTAGGAATTCCAATACCTGAGGAAAAGGTAGTGAAGTGGGATATTGAGACCAAAGGAGAGAGCATGGACAGTGACATACAAACCAGAGACTCTTGGAAACCACTACTGGGGAGATCATCACTAGGGGAGGGAGTAGAGCAAGTCTGGGCTGGGGAAGCTCACCTGGGGTGTAAGTAAGTCTTAGAATTATAGAGAGTCTGCTGGTCTTCCCCTTCCTACTTCCCGGGGAATTTATCATCATTATTTGTCCGTTCTCGAAGAAGATCATGTCATCAGGAAGGTGATGTTATGACTTGTAAGTGAATTGGATTTAAGTGAGGGAGGGCTGTATAAAGTCACCAGCCTCACTCTCTCCTGCACAAGTCACTAATGAACTCTGCTTTCCAGTGAGTCCAGCCTAAGTCCGCTTGATGCATTATGCAACACGAAGCTCATGAAGACTCATTAGAGAGAGGAAGCATGCCCCTTCAGTTGTATGCACCCTCCCTGTAATAAGCTCCAGTCACCCTGCCCTAGTTAAGGCTGAGTTAGGAGAGAACACTGAATTAGGAGAGGCAAAACTGAGACCAGCAAGAATTCCAGCTTACTCAGAACACAAAGTAGGTGAAGGACAATCATTTAAATAAGCTTAGAAAAATAGGTTGGTACCAGACAGAAGAAAATGGATTGTCAGGTAAATACTATAGTTTATTTTCTGGGCAACTGAAAAAGCATTTGTAAATTATGTTGAAGAGACTTCTCTTGGCACTGAGTGGGACTATGCAGCTTAGCTGTGTGACTTTAACCCCAAGTCTAGCAAGGTGAGCAAGGATGTGTCCTCCACACGCTCAGTCCTCATCTCCCTCAAGCAGGAAAGGGAAGCACCATGAAAATATTACAATTGCAGTATATTAATTTTACTTAGCAAAGCTGTTCACAGTCATTGGATTAATTATGTTGGGTTCTTTTGGACCAAACCTCTTATCTATAGAGTTGGTCATTGTTTGTGATTGCATCTTTTCTTTAGCTCTTTTCTCCTTGGCTTTCCAAGTGGGAGGGAAGTGAGAATCTCCTAGGTAACAGGCTCTTATGCTTCTGTGTGTTGTCATTTTCAACTGTATTGATAATAGATAAATATTATCCCATGAGTTGGAATTGACTGGACTTTGGGAGAGGAGAAATATAGTAGGGGAGAGGAAGGAATGAAAGATGATGTTGAGGTTTTGAAGCTGGATGCCTGGGAGCATTTCAGTGCTATCCTCAGAAATACAGAAGGTGGTAAAAGGCGGGGTTCTGGCAGAGTAGAGGCTTGATTTTGTATATGGTGAATTTGAAATACCAATAGAACATCCATGTAAAGGTGTTTAGGAGGTAACTAGAAATGCAGAATTAAAGCTCAGGGGAGTGAATGGGATCAGAAATGCTGAGTTTTTTAAGCAGAGGTATCACTTGAAGCCATGGGAATGGAGGAGGTCATCAAGACAAGAAAGCAGAGAGGCAAGAGAAGGTCCAGAATAAAGCTTTGTGGGCCCCAAAAGGAAGAGAAAGGACATTTAATTTTTCTGAGAGAAAATGCCCAAAGCAAAAATATCAGTCTCAGTAATGGATCACATTTCTCACCTTGCCTCAGAAATAAAGTTTCCCCAAATGTCATTTCTTCTTAAGCATGTGTCTAGACAGTAAAAATCTCTTGCCCAAAATGCTATTTTTTCCCCTTGCTAATGACTTTTGAGTGCTGAAACTTCTTTCCCATTACTAAACTAAATGGAGAAAAGGGTCAAGTAGACCACTCACAAGCCAAGACTTACAATACATACAAACTTTCTGGGCCTCAGTTTCCTTATCAGGAAGATGAAGGAGTTGAACCACATGAACTCTTAAGGTTTCTCCCTTCCACCCCCAAGATGCTAAGATGCTAAGATAGACAAAAGCAGCATTGCAAAGACACATTAATGCATAAGGTTGGAGCTAACCACTCCCAACCTCTCCCGTTCTGTACAAAGTCACAGAAAGTGAATCTAGAGCTTCACTTTTTATTCTGCAATCCTAGGAAGAACCTTAAAATAACCCAAACAGACCCACACACACATTAAAAGAAAAGCATCCTCACTGAGCTGTAAGCATAAACCTAGTGAGCTCATTCCTGACAGACTCAGAAAATAGGCAGATTACTAAAGCCTCTGAAAAGATGATCGGAATGTCTTGACATGTTAGAGGAATTTTTAAAGTCCTTTTAAAAATAACCTCAAGTATTCCTGGGTCTTGCTGTTTAAAATTTCCCTCACTTTTTAGTGGCTTGGATTTTACCACCTCAATCATTTGCCTTAATGTAAAAGTTCTTATCTCAAGCCTTTAATACAGGAAACATTCTTCTTCCCTAACTACCCTCTAATTTGGTATTAGGGTGACCTCAATAACACTAACAGCACAGTCTCAATCATTCTAATCACCTCCTTTCCATTTGGGGCTCTTTTCTTCCTGCAGTTAACCGAGAAATGAGGGGGAGTGCAGATCATGGCACTTGATAAAGGCCTAAGGAAATTCCTTCGTGTGAAGGTAAAAGTGAGAAGAAAATGTGCCACCAAACTATTATTCATTTTCACCTAATCACAAAAGTCAGAAAGAGAAAAAGAACATGAAGCAACACAGTCATTTAAAAAGTCCTATCTCCTTTTAATATTTTCACTCTTTTCCTTTGACATTTCCATCTAATGTTTGACTTTACTGAAGACTGTGAAGCCTTCATATTTAACTTAACACCTTCCTTTAGTGGGGGGGGGAGGGAGGGGTGAAGGTAGAGGAAGATGATCAGGACTTGTGATGGTATGGCAAACCCCTGGCATGGAGACAAATAGAATTGCTTGGGACACTGGGAAGTTAGGTAGGCTGGCCATGACCACACAGCTAATTAGAAAGAAGAACTTAAACCAGGTTTTCTTGACTGGTATTGAGGGCAACCTTCTATTCATTACACCATGCTATCTCTCCTAATTAGTATCATACATATATGGGAGAAAATATAGCGAACAGAGTTCTGGACTAGGAGTCAGGAAAACCTAGATTCAAATCCAACTTCAGACGCTTCCTAGCTATGTGACCTAGGGTAAACCTTTTAACCTCTCCATGCCTCAGTTTTCTCCTCTGTAAAATGGGGGTAATAATAGCACCTACCTCCCAGGGTTGTTGTAAGGAACAAATAAGGTAATGCATGTAAAAGTTTCACAAACCTAAAAGCACTATATTAACATGAGGTCATGGAATCATAGATCTTGAGCTTGGAAGGGAGCTGCGGGGTCAGTTAGTCCAAGCTTTTTTTTTTTAGATGAAGAAACTAAGGCCCAGAGAAAATGATTTGCCCAAGGTAAGGCAGTGGTTGAACTGGAATTCAGATTCATATCCTGTTCCAAATTCAGTCCTCTTTCCATTTTACTTCTCTGTGTCTAGTTTCCAAAATTCTGCTCCAATGCTTCCTCTCCTTCAGCCCCCTCCCAAAACAAATATTCAAACAGAAGAGTTCCATGTAGAGTGAAGAAACATCTAAAAATCAGATCATCCAGGAGACTCTATCCCTTAA